CATTATGTAGACCAGGCTGGCCTTGAACTCACAGAGACCCGCGTGCCTCTCCCTCTAAAGTGCTAGGATTAAAGGCATGCACCACCACGCCCAGGAAAAGAAAGAACCTGAAAGAGAATAACAGTAAGAAACAGGCGTTAATAAGGGAGATATGGATAAAAATTGGGTTAGTTTAAGGGAGGGGGGAGGGAAGGGTATACAAGGAACCTAGGGGATAAGGGGAAAGAAGGGGCTCAAGAGAGGTAGGAGCATAGGATAAGGGTATTAGTAAGGGAGAAAGGGGGGAAATGGGGGCACCTTAAGTGGGAAAACCATGGTGGAGGGGTGAGACAATGTGAGAGATAAATAATGCCCAACTAGCTTTGGAAACCAGAGGGAACCATATTACTCCTACAACCTACTGACAAATTATACATAGCAGATCAAGAAATATATGTCGAGGTAAGGTTTATCTGAGAACAATTGGTCTTTGCCCAAGATTTATCTACATGACACACAGTAATTGAAAGTACCAGACTGCTGGAACTAACCTTCTTAGATGTTTAACAGACATACTTTGAGGCCTATACTAATTTGGTCAGAGAAAAAAAGAATTCCCAGTGTGGTATGATGTTTAAAACTCATTGAATTAAATCACATGGAAAGGCCAATATTAGCATCTGTCTATTTATTACATACACACATGTGGGGGTGCGGGGAGAGACTCAGTCATGCTATAGCCAAAGGACACCAGTCAATAAAGGACAGAAAAGTAAGGAACAGGAGAGGAGAGAAAGTGATAGGAAGGGAGGAAAGAGGAGGGGAGGGAAGGGGAGGGGAGAAGATTCGTGTCCCATGTTAAGACACACTATCATATCCTAATTCCATTTCTTCAAGTCATGTGAAGCCAGGACATCTTCTGGGCCAAAGGGGTGACTTGAAGAAATGGAATTAGGCTATGACAGTGTGTCTCAAAATGGAAAGCAAATCTCCTCCCCTCCCCTCCCTCCCCTCCCTCCCCTTCTCTCCCCTTCTCATTTTCTGTCCTCTCCTGTTCCTTACAATAGTAAGGAACCACCTTACTGTGGCGATGGTGTCAGCACACACAAGTCTAATCAAACTCAGGCAGACAATAACCCAACATAGAACTGGGAAAATGAACAGCAGACCCCAACCTTATCTAAAGGAATATTGACAACTGATTGCTGGTAGATGAGGAACAGCTGATCCTCCTAAAACAAAGACCTCTAGATAGGCTGACTAGATTCACCAGAAGGGCAAGTGGTGGGGAAGGGCTGGTGGTGCCCACAACACAGCAGACAGTAGCAGGGATATCAGAATATAAGGGCTCTCGTTGGTGGAGGGAGGCTATGGGAGGGTGCCATCTGGGAAGTAGGTGTATAGTTGAATAAGATGGTTTGGGATGTTGTGTGTGATACACACACACACACACACACACAAAATGAACAAATTTTAAAAAATGTATTATATTTGAGGAGGAAGCATGGAAGCTTACATCATGCTAATTAGTAGAGGTGATAAACATTACCATTGAAAACCGATGAATTAATAGACATACACAGGTGACAAGGATCCAAGTGCAACCGATTATGACTAGTAATAATCAGATACATACAGATTAGAGATGCATGGGCCAACATCTCAGTGTTAGCAAAACCAATGAGTCTTTCTGCAAGGAAAAATATATTCTAAAATGAAATGGAGATCTTTTTTAAAGGTTAAAAACTCATTCAATTTTATGTCTTACAGGGCTTATACTGTGTTCAATATTGTATAACTATTAATTCAACTGTGAACCTAGAAACTTGCACCCACTTGTGAAAGAGATGTACTCTTGCTCTGGAGTGTGTTACTGAATATGGTAAAGCTGTAGTGAAATGCTTCTTCTAATCATGTAGTTATTAAAATATAAAAAAATAATGATTAAAAAGTAATTCTTCAAAGCATAAAAATTTGCTCCTTAATAATTAGTAGATGTAAAAAACATTACCATTGAAATCTACCTGTAGATTTTATATCCATGTTCAGATGCCAAGGAGCTCAGAAAGTAACCGACTGTGACTAGTAATAATCAGATATACAGATATTAGAAATGCATGTGCAAACATCTTAATATCAGTTGCATTAAAAATGAAGTTTTCTGTATGAAACTCTGTATTTTAATAAATCGAGATCTTTTTTAAAGGTTAAAACCTCATTTAATTTTATTCATTTAATTTTATGTCTTATAGACTTTATAATGAGTAAAAGATTGTATAAGCGTAATAATTCATCTGTAAACCTAAAAATGTATAGCCAATTTTGAAAGAGATGTACCCTAGCTCAGAAAATTGTTATTGAATATGTCCATGCTGTTGCAATGAAATGCTTCTTCTAAGTATGTGGTTATTAAATAAATAATTTTTAAAAAATCCAACAACAGACTTGCTGGGCCTTCTCCCTATCTACAGCAAAACAAAGCCAAAGCTGCATACCAAAACAGCCTGGGAACTAAAGCAAGGGAGGCAAATGAATCCCACAGTTATCATGGCTTCAAAGAGGCCAAAGTTTCATTTGTCAAGAAACTTGATTTAGAGAGACAAGGAATAGCAACCACAGTTATCAAAGATATGTGGAAGAGATCAGATGAAGAAGAGTGAAAAATCACACTGGTTTCTTTTCCCTTGAAAAGAAGGAAGTGATGGAGAAATACTGCCCACAGAGGAGCAGAATACTAAGCATCCTGTGAACATGATGATCCAGTTAAACCTACTGCCATGGGGAAGGGCATGATATGTATACACTGTTCATTGAAAACATAGCAACTAATGTCCAGTACAGTATGATTCCATTTATACAAAATTACACACAGGTATCTACAAATACTTCTGTATAACTACCATCTCTATATGTATAGAAAATGTACCTTATGTGGCTTGGGGAGGTAGCTCATTTAAAGTGTTTGCCTAGGATGCACGAATCCCTGCATTCAATCCCCAGCACCACAGAACTAGAGGTGGTGGTACATGCCTGTAATCCCAGAACTCGAGAAAAAGAGGCAAGAGGATCAGATATTCAAGGTAACTGGCAGTATAACAAGTTCAAGGCCAGCCTGGACTACATGGGTCCCTGCCTCCAAAATAAAACAAAGAGAAAGAAATAAAAGAACATGTACCTAGTTGAGGAGACTTGGGCTTTTCTTATTTATACTTTCTAGTTTTGCTTATTTGAACTTCCTCAATAAGCATATATAATTTTACATTGTTTGTTTGAGACAGGTCTCCTATAGCCCAAGCTTGCTTCAAACCTGGAGGATAACTTTGCTCTTTTAACCCTCTTTCTACCCCAAGTGCTAGGATAACTGGCATGCTGCCACTAGCCTAAACAGCAACCTGTTTTCCTTCCTCTCTTCTTTCTCTCCTCCCTCCCGCCCTCCCTCCCTCCGTCCCTGACATCAAGTGCAACACTTTGTGATGAGCTATGAGACTTCTATTTATCAAGACCTAAAAAGTAGGAGGCTCTAAATGTCTTATCGATTCATGATGAGCAGATACTAGGTGTCTACCAGGTACATAAGTGATCACTGAACATCTTACAATACAGTGATATAGAGTACAGAAATAAACTACTTAAACAGCATAATTCCAGATACTGAAGACAAAAAGAAGTCAATAGAAACAGGATAAAACAATAATAAAATGACTGGGGTGAGGGAGGGGATACTTAACCCAGAAGGCTTAGAAAACCCTCTGAGGAAATAGCCTTAAAAAAGGATTTAAGCCGGGGGTGGTGGTGCACGCCTTTAATCCCAGCACTCGGGAGGCAGAGGCAGGCGGATCTCTGTGAGTTTGAGGCCAGCCTGGTCTACATAGCGAGTTCCAGGTCAGCTGGGGCTACAGGGAGATCCTGTCTCAAAAAGGCCAAAAAAAAAAAAAAAAAGATTTAAATAATGAAAACCTGATAAAGACTTAAATGACGAGGAGGCAGCCACACAGAGAAGGAATTATCATATATAATTCTCCAACAATTCTTTTTTTATGTGTAGCCCAGGCTGGCTTCCAACTCACAATCCTGCCTCTGTGTCCAGTGCTCTGGTATTACAGGCAAGTGCCGCCACCACCACCACATCTGGCTTATAACATCTCTCCTAGGCAGAGTTTGTATCCGTCTTTTTTTTTTTTTTTTTAAATGTGTATGAGTGTATTGCCTACATGTAGGTGCACCCACGTTGTGCAATGCCCCCAGAGGTCAGAAGAGGGCAGAGGGTATCAGATTCTCCTGGAACTGGAATTATGGACAGTTGTTAGCTGCAATGTGGGTGCTGGGAATCAAACCCAGGTCCTCTGTAGGTCGAGTGCTCTTAACCACTGAGCCGTCTCTCCAGCCCCTGTATGCCTGGTTTTGAGATGAGGAAAGCAAAGTTTGTCTGCTGATCTATCAAGGTCACAAGCCTGAGACACAGCTGGGCCTGAAACCCAGATCTGCCTGAGTCTAGACAGACACTTTTCACCACTGGACTCTTCCATCTCCAGGTGCTGACCTTAGCTACTCTATTCCTTCTGGCTGGAATTCCAATTTCTTCAGGGAATTCTTTTTCCTCCCTCAACAACTCCCAGGTCAACTTGTTTGAGATGGCTATGGTGATAATCCCCAGGGGAAACAGTGCATCTTCCCCCCCTGAACATCTACTTCCCCTTGCATTCTCTCATTACAGCTATCTCCTGGTGGAGAGAAGTATGGCCACCACTCCCATGTTAGGGCAGGTCTATCCACTACTCTGTTGTATCTCTCCCTATCCTGCATGCCCAAACTTTCATAAATCCTTGCTCTCAACACTTACAGGATGAATGAAAAGCAATAAAGATGTACAAGGAGTTCATCAGGCATGGCTGGATGCTGATGGTCTTCCAAGTCTTGTCAGAGCTCTAGCTCTGAAGTGAGATGCAACTGCCAGGACTATTTCTGAACAACACGTTCCAGGAGAGCCAAGAAGATGAAGCAGACAGAAGATGCACACTAACCTGCTTTAAGTTGGCTTTTCATAAGCTGTGTCTGAGTTCCCTCCCCACAGTCAAAGAGCCAGCATTCACCCTCACACCGAAGAACCACAGCAGAGGCACCCCGGGTCGGGGATGGATATGCTGCACCTGTCCCAAGAAATGTCACATCCATAGACATCTTCCACCCTGCAACAGAAAGACCACCTGGAGATTATTTTACATGACTGCACGAAAACATGTTCCTTTGAGATTTACTATATTTGACTGGCTGATTTTTGGTGCTAGGGATTGAACTCAAGTCCTCTTATTTGCTGAACATGTGCTCTACCATGAAGCTATACCATCAATTCCTATTTATTCTCTGGTTATAATGCTTTATTTATTTAAAATAGTGCTGGGAATGAAACCCAAGGTCTCGCATATGCCAGGCAAGTACTTACCACTGAGCCATATCCCCAGTCCTGGTTATAAAATTTAACTGGCTAAAATGACAAGTTGCCAAACTTCATGTAACTGCTCACATAGCCACACAGACACACACACACACAGATGCACATAAACACATAGACATGACATGTACATAGACACACACACAGACACACAAAATCCAATAACAAAAAAACGTGTTTTTTTTGACTTAGGTGATAAAGGCACTTGCTGCTAAGCCTGACAACCCAAGTTTGATCCTCAGGACCCACATGGTGGAGAGACAACTCCCGAAAGTTGTCTTCTGACCTCTATGACCTACCATAAACAAATAAATATAATAACCTTATTTTATTTATTATTTTTATTTTATGTGTACGAGTGTATTGTCTGCCTGCATGTATGTGAATGCACTCATGCCATGCAATGCTGCGGAGGTCAGGAAAGGGCTTTGGATTCCCCTGGAACTGGAGTTAAGGACAGTTCGTAGCTGCCATGTGGATGCTGGGAATTGAATCCAGGTCCTCTGCAAGAGCAGTCAGTGCTCTTAACTGCTGAGCCATGTCTCCAGCCCCATATATATAATAATAATTTTATAAACTATAGTTGAGGGGTTAAAGAACTAGCTCCATGCTGCAGCTCTTGCCCAGCATGCATAAGGCCCTGGATTTGATCCTTAGTACTACAAATAAAATACTGCAGTTGAACTCCAACTATATCACATTCTCAAAAAGGCAAACTATATAGATGGTAAAAAGATTATGAGTGCTTGCCAGTGACATAGGGGAAACGAGAGAAGTATAACAGGTGGAGCACCTTTTAAAGGAAGTGAAACCATTCTGTATGATTCAATAAAGACAAAAATGTCATTTACATGGAGTTGGGAACATGACTTGTGGGTAGAGTACTTGCCTGGCATGTACATGGCCCTTGATTTGATCCCCAGTACCACAGTCACAGAGAGAAATGTCATTATACAGGAGTCAGTTGCACACATAATGTACAGCACACAAAATAAGAAATGTCATTAATAGTATGTCAGTAGTCTTTCCAGATGGCTCAGCAGTTAAGAGCACTGGGTGCTCTTGCAGGGGACCCAGGTTGTTTTTAAGGGATTAAAGGCCCTTAGAAAGTTTATGCAGAGCTGGAGAAATGTCTCAGCTTATCCGGGAGCTTGGTGCCAAACTTAAGGACCTGAGTTTGATCCCTGGAACCTACATGGTGGAAGGAGAAAATCAACTACCATGAGTTGTCCTCTGACTTCCACATATGCCCCTGCCTGTGCACATGCACACACACACACAATAATAAACAAAAATAAACCTTTTTTTAACTTAGAGTTTACATTTAAATAAAATATACTGATGCAAAAGTAAAATAAGCAGAGGATATATACAAAATCATAGCATAAATTCAAACGACTGGTAAGTGTACAAAGTGCTGAAATTCCTAGTGGAATTAAAGAACAAAGAGACCCGATTTCCCATATCAGCTGGCAAATACTAATCAAGCAGAGTTAGCCAGACCTACTCAGGATGATGAGGAATGGGGAATCGGGTATGCTCATAAGTTACTGATGGTGGAGGATCACCTGCTCTTATGTCTTAGGAGAATAATTTGGCAATAAATGTTACCAATAATGATACTACCAATAACAAACCCAAGCAATCCCATTTTCTGGAACCTATCCTACAGAAATGAAAAATGATGCACAATAATGCTTACCATGGTGCTTTTAGGTGTGTTAAAATATAGAAGCAATTTACATTAACAGGGAAATGACTAAGTAGTTTTGTACATTCTTCTTATTATTTATTCTATTAATTTTATTTGTAGCTAATAACAACACGGTCTGGAACTTCTACTATCCTAGAAGGATGACAATGGGAAAAGTTACAGGTGGCTACAGTATAAATATCATTTTTTTCTAATTGTCCCAAACCCTTATACAAGCAAAATATGGTGTAGAAGGGTACACAACACATTGTTAATCCTGGTGATGTGGATGACAGGAATGACTGGGAGATAGGAGAATGTCTGCTAACTTAAATTTTTGGATAGTTTTCAGTTGCAACAAACAATGGCTTATTTTTGTTTTATATTTAATAGTAATGATTTTAAAAAATGTATCAAAAGGCCAAACATGCTTTTTTTTAAACTACACATCATTTAATTTTCCTTTCCATTTTACATATCCCTCACATACAGAGCAACAAGCCTTAAGGTTTCTGCCAGCACCCCTTCCATGTTACTCCACATTTGGCCTCCAAACTTTCTTTTGACAATTAAGCAACTGAACTTGCAAAGCCTTCCTTATTGCACTGCAGTTTTCAGGAGGTGAGAGTAAACAGGCGGTAGAAAGCCAACTCAGAAGCTGGTAAAATGCAGAGGGAATAACAGAACATAATTGGTACTGGAATCTGGGGCTCACGTTGCTCACCACTCCACTGAAAAACTGGGAGCCAGAAACTGATGGAAGGGAATGATTTCTTTAAAGTTCTGGCCAGAACTGAGGAAAGAAAAATTCTTAATCTGTCTCTGCCTTGCCCACAGCCGTGCCACAATTTATAGAAAAAGATGAAATAAAAGCCTAAAAATATGCATATCTAAATTTAGCTGGGAGTCCAAGTCATCAGATCTCAGATATGTATGTCTCCTCCAGAGCAGGCCAGGGCTTGGGGGCTGGCCATTTTCTCTCTCAGATAGTATTTCCTAATTCCACTTTAGCATTTCCACCCTACTTCACATAATCACTTTGCAATCCCTAACAAATGATGGATCTAGACCAGTGGCAGGGAACAATGGGAACATATCAGAATCACGTGGAGAGCTTTAAGACATCAATGATTAGGTCCTATCCCAGAGCAATTAAATATGAAATTCTGTGAGGCACATGTTTAGCATTTTTTAAAGGGGGAAGGATTCTTCCCTTGTAATTCTAACGCTGAGTCAGATTTAAGAACAATTTGGTGGGATTAGAAAGATGACTCAATGGTTAACAGAGTGTAGTAGTTTTCTAGAGAACCTGAGTTTGTTTCCCAGGATCCCATGACAGGTGGCTCACAACTGCCTGTATGTAACTCCAGCTTCTGGCCTCTGTGGGTGCATGTACAGACATACACATTTTTAAAAAAATTTTTAAAAATAAACTATTTACTGAAGGGAGTGGAATGTCCTAATTATGTGTGTGTGTCTATATATATAATGAGCCATTTAGTGAAGCCTGCTTGGTGGCCCACACCTGTAATACCAGCACTTGGGAAGGAGATAAGAAGATCTAGGAATTCAAGAACATCCAGTTTCAGCTATATACCAAATTTAAGGCCAGACTGGACTACATAAAATACTCTCAAACCAGCCCAACAAACAAACAAAAGAACTACTTAGTGAAAGATGAATGGAAAACTGTAACCCAAGGCTCATAACCTGAACTCATTAGTCAACATTAAAAAAATGTTTCATGCCAGGTGTGGTGGTGCATGCCTTTAATCCCAGCACTTGGGAGGCAGAGGCAGGTGAATCTCTGTGAGTTCAAGGCCAGCCTGGTCTACAATATAGTGAGTTCCAGGACAGCTGGAGCTACAGGGAGACCCTGTCTCAAAAAGACCAAATAAAAAAAAAAAAAGTTTCATTAAGAAAAATTTCATCCCAGCACTCGGGAGGCAGAAGGAGGTGGATCTATATGAGTTCAAAGCCAGCCTGGTCTACACAGTAAGTTCCAGGCCAGCTAGGGCTACAAGAAGACCGTGTCTGAAAAAGACCAAAAAAAAAAAAAAAAAAAAAAAGAAGAAAAAAAAAAATCAGACACTGGAGAAATGTCTCAGCCAGAAAAGGACCTTCATAAAAAGCTGGGAGGGGCAGGGTATGTTTGTAACCCTACTGCTGGGAAGGCAGAGATAGGCAGATCCCTGGAGCTCCCTGGCCAGCCAGCCTGAGGATGAAATCTTGCTCCAAAAAATAAGATGAAAAGTAATCTTGGAAGACATACAACATTGACCTCTGGTGTCCACACACAAGTATGCACATGCACACACACTACACATAAAAGAAAACTTTCCAGCTGGGCATGGTGGTGCACACCTTTAATCCCAGCACTCGGGAGGCAGAGGCAGGCAGACTTCTGGGAGTTCGAGGCCAGTCTGGTCTCCATAGCAAATCCAGGCCAGCTGGGGCTACAGGGGCTACCCTGTCTCAAAAAGACAAAAAAAAAAAAAAAAGAAAGAAAACTTTCCAAATGAGTTTGATTGTGAACACCTAAAATCCTAGTTCCAGGGAAGGCTAAGGCAGGAGGATTGAGTTTGAGGCCAGCCTGAGCCACAGAGACCTTGTCTTGAAACAAAAACAAAGAAAAAGAGAAAGTTCAAACACATACAGAACTAGAAATGTCAGTACAATACACTGCCACATAGTATTTCCAAAAAACTTCAAGTTACCAACTCATGGGCAACCTTGACTCATCTATATCCTAACTCCATCCCCACTGTCCCAAAACTACTTGGTAAGCAGTATGAGGTGCTTCCATCAGGACCGAGACATTGTCTGGTGCTCTCTTTCTCTGAGGCTAACACCTATTCAAGATGACTGTCGAGATTCATTATTTAATTAGGGGCTGCCACAATGTGAGGCATCTATCCTTCTGCAGTTATTAGCTGACATTCTTCTATAATTCCTTAGTCAATTATTTGGTTACATTGAGGAGCAAATCTGTACATAAAAGGTCCATGGAGACAAGATCTTATCTAACTCCTGAGAACTCATATGAAATACAAAGTAAGCCTCCATGAGGTTTCTGTGTCAAAAAGTAGAACTGAAAAAGCCAATAGAACTAAAATGCCAGTTTATTAAAGAATTCCCCAGAGACAGAAAAAGCAATGCGCAGGCTATAGGAAAAGACATGTAGGGTATATGGTTTTCCAACACGTAAATTATAAGGAAAAAAAAGGGGTGGGGGATTAAGAGACAAAGAGACAAGATATATTACCTATCTGTAATGTGTGTAGCTTGTCTGGATCCTGATTTGGATAAACTGGTAAGGGAAGGGACAACTGGGGAAAGGTAAACACTGACTGAATAACAGATGGTAAAAATGAAATGTTAACTAGACTGACGATGACTTTATGTTCAAAAAGTTACCATGCTTTATAAACATACAAGTATTTAGCAGATGGAATGGTACATTTCAGGTATGTTTTAAAATAACACCGTGTGAAAGAGGGTTAATAGATGAAACAAGGTTCTCCCTGAGTTGGGGGTTCAATATATTCATATTTCATATGTTTGAAAATTTCCATAATAAAAAGTTTTCAAACAAAATAAACCCTCCCACTAGGTCCGGAAGTAATCAGAAATAATTTAAGCAAAGGTGCTCGGTTTCTGCTACGCACCGCTCTACGTATAGGAATCAAAAGTGAGCAAACCAGATTAGGTCCCTGTCTTCTTGACAAAAAACAGCTGTGATCCACGTTGGAGGAAGTGTACATTTCAGTCCTGATGGCAGTGCTGTCACTAGTCACTTCGGGCCTGCCCGCAGATCACAATCTCTGGTGGCCACGGGGCCGCCCTCACATCTGGGCGGCTTCCCTAGAGACTAAGGGCTGCCTAGTCGGGACCTGGCACTTTCAGGCAGGCAGTGTCAGGCCTGAGGTGTAGACAAGTGACATCGCCGTCCTAAACTTTTGAAATTAAAAAAACGTGTGGGTCTGAGAGTGGACCGGGGCGTTCACCCAGGCCCCCAGCCACCAGCGAGCCCAGGGTACCGAGACCGCCAGGGAAAGGCGGGGTGGGCGGCCGCGGCCGCGTGGGGAGGCCGGCTCGCGACACCCTGCGGAGACCGGGCGCGTTCTCGCGGACGGGCGCTCCCGGGACCTCCGCGTCTGGCCCGGCGGCCCGGTGAGTCCCGAGGAAGCGCGCCGCCCCCCTCGGGCGCCCAGCCCCACTCACCCTCTCCCCGAGGCCCGCGGAGCCGAGGGAGGCGCAGGCCCGCTCCGAGCCCAGCAGCGCGAGCACAGTGACGCCAGGCCGGAAGTGCGCCACCGCTCCTCCCGCTCCGCCGCTCTAGGCTACCGGGAGGTCTGCGCTCGATGGCGTCGGCCCAGTCTCCTGGATCAGGCGGTGGGTGCCCATCTCCTTCCAGGTCACCATAAGGTGGTGGCCGGGGCGCGTGCCGACTGGAGCTCCTGTCCCCAAAGTGAAAACGTTTTTTGGTTTGATTTTCGTGCATGTTTTTCAGCCAATAACGTTTTTCCTGCTGCCTTTGTTCATGATTGTGTTTGTGTCGGCTTTTTTAAGTCTTTGTTTGGAATGAATCTTTCTTTCAACCGCTAAACCTGAAAGTTTAAGGCTGTGGTGCTTTGAGAGGAAAACACTGGGGACTCAGAATCGGAGTTCATTATCAGCGTGACCATGGGCCCTGGTTGGCCTGGCACTCGCCATGTAGACCAGGCTAGCCTCCCAGAGTGCTGGGATTCATTCGCCACCACGCCCAGCTCCTATTTTGATTTTCTATTCAGGGGTACCCTGGAGCACTTGCCTAAAATCTGAAGTTGATTTTGGTGCAGTCACCCCAAGATTTGCAGATCTGTTCTCTTAGGTAATACACAGAGGAGTGTAGACAGCTATATACATGTATTTACAAACCATAAGGGGAAAAAAAGGAATGCGATGGAATTTTAAACTTTAACTTAAGCTTATTTATTTTTTCATTTGAGACAGGGTCTCAGTATCCCAGACCAGTCATTCTTGCTAAATAGCCAAAAATGTCCATGAACTTCTGATCCGCCTGCTTCCACCTCCCCAGTGCTGAAATTAGAAACATGTGCCACCACAGTTCATGCAGTATTAGTGACCAAACTCGGGGCTTCAAGCATGCTAGCCAAGCATTCCACCAACCAAACTATATCCCTAACCCAGATTTTTGTTTTTAAAATATCTGTAGGGTATTTTGAAACTATCAGAAGAGAGATATAGAGAACCTCATTCCATTACCCCTACCTCATTCGAAAACCTTTAATTAGTCTATGTGTTGGGCTCCTCGATGCCTTATTATTTAAGTATTGAGTTCCAACTTTGAATAGTGAGATGGAGGAAAATGGGGTCCTTGAGACCACCATCTTAGGTGGCCTTAATTTAGGGACTAGGGTGCCAGACTCATGCATTCACCAAAGCCTCTACTGAGTCAGCGGGTCCAAGTCTTTTGTCTTGTGAATTCGAAAAATGAATTTCATAGACAATGAAAAATAAATTTTTAAAAAACTTTTTTTTTTTTTTGGTCTTTATGACACAGGGTCTCCCTGTAGCCCCAGCTGTCTTGGAACTCACTATGTAGACCAGGCTGGCCTTGAACTCACAGAGATCTGCCTGCCTCTGCCTCCTGAGTGCTGGGATTAAAGGCGTGTGCCACCATGCCCAGCCTTAAAAAAAAACATTTTTTAAATTTTAGTTTGTATGTATGAATGTTTTGCCTCTATGAAAGTGTACCATGTGCATGGAATACTCGTGGACGCCAGAAGAGGGCATCAGATCACCTAGAATCAGAGTTACAGAAGTTGTAAGCCACTATGTGGGTGCTGGGAACCAAATCAAATCCTCTGCAAAAGCAGCAAGTGCTCTTAACCACTTAGTCATCTCTCCAGCCCCCAGAAACATATTCTTAGTTGTGGGTAAAAATGGCTTCTAAAAAGCCTCCCCCTATCCTAGGAAGGAGACCACTCCAGACCACCTAACAGAACAGGAAATAAATATTAGGTAACCAAGGAAAACTGCAGCTACCCCTTGGTAGCTGTGACAAGAGGTAGTTCTTCACAGGAAGTAAAGACAAGGATTCATTGTAAACTACAAGCTGGTCACATAACTTGCAAACAAATAGAGCAGTCTGTAGAGCCAGCAAGGCCAGAGATCAGAACACCTGCAAGACTGGCACTTGCACACATGGAGGCAATACACTCATACACATAAAGACAATAAATAAAATATTTTAAAAAATATGTTTCTGGAGGCTGGAGAGATGGTTTAGTGGTTAAGTGTGCTAACGGCTCTTAAAGGAAATCAGAATTGGTTCCCAACACCCATATAAGTGAGCTCACAACCCCCTGTAACTCCTGTGCTCCCAGGCCCTCCAGAGACCAGCACAGGTGTGGTCTCAAGCAGACACACACACGCAAACATACAAATAAACAAATCTTTTAGCCAATGAGCCCCTATTCCCAAATTCTTAACCAGTCTTTAATTTTCTCTTTTGTTACTTATGTTATTAGTTGATTGTTCCCCAATACATCTTTTCCCAGCCTGAGTGTACTGGCTATGATACATAAATTACGGCTGAAGTCGGCATGGTAGCACATGCCTTTAACCCCAGCACTTAGGAGGCCAAGGCAGGTGGATCTCTGTGAATTCAATGCCAGCCTGGTCTACATAGTGACTCCTAGGCCAACTGGGGGTACAAGGAGATCCTGTCTCAAAACAGAGGGAGAGAGAGAGAGAGAGAGAGAGAGAGAGAGAGAGAGAGAGAAGAAAGATAGAAAGATTATGGCCGAAAAGCTTCCCAAGTTTACTAAAAAGCAGTAATTTCCAAATCCAAAACCTCAACAAATCCCAAACAAATACAGAGATTCACAAACACAGGACAGCAGACAAGCTAACAGCCAAAGGGAGGAGAAAGCTTACAAGGAAGCTGTAAGATAAATAGGTGACTTTTTAGTCAAACAATGGAAACCAGGCAGCAGGATAACATGCAAAGCCTCAAAGGAAGAACAACAATGGCACAAAACTGTCAGCTAAAAAAAAAATCCTGTATCAGTAAAACTGTTGGGAGCCTGGGAGCCTGAGGCTCAGCATGTTGGTAGACTGAGTCTCAGCCACCTCTCAAAACTGCTGACAGACCTAAGCTGGCAACTTTCCATTCTGCCCGTAGCCTTGGCCTAAAACCTTGGCAGACAGCCAGGGCCCATGGCCTTGGCTCGCAGTCGGGGCTCACAACCTTGGCCCACAACCTTGGCTCACAGCCGGGGCCAGTAGCCCATGGCCTTGCTCTAGTTTAGGTGAATAGCTCTGCTCTTGGTTAATCAATAGATTCCTCCCTTAGTGTACATCAGGACCCCTGTGTTCTGACTGATGTGATTACTCATTCCTTGCTCCCTTGTTCTCATTCTCTGTTTAAACTCATGCTTGTGCTTCAATAAACGAGACTTGATCAGAAACCTGTCTTGTCTCCATTTCTCTTATCGCTTGCCTCATCCACATCCCCACTCCCCAATCCAGGTACTTCGTGGCAGTTTCCACAGGTCAGAACTGAGTCTCATTGTGGGGTGGCCTCCTGCAGAGTGGCGCCCAACGTGGGGCCTGGATACTGGGGACAACATGAGGGACATGACGGAGGAAAAAGGGGTGCGCACCCACTCAAATAATTCGGAGACGCCATGGGAGCCTGCCGCGATGGAGCCGAAGGTAAGTTGGTCGTTCAATCATGGGGCAAGAATTAAGTCAGCATCAGATTTATGTGATACAGTTAAGAGAAGCTCTACAGGCAAGAGGAGTAAGGTTAAAACTGAGGATTTATTTCATTTCTTTGATTTTGTAAAGGACATTTGTCCCTGGTTTCCCCAAGAAGGGGCCATAGATATAAAAAGATGGAGAAGAATGGGAGATGCATTACAGGATTTTTATACAGTATTTGGACCTGAAAAGGTTCCTGTTACTCTCTTTTCTTATTGGAATTTAATAAAAGAATTAATAGATAAGAGAGATGAACATGAACCAGTGGTGGCAGCGATTGCCCAAGCTGAAGAGATTTTTAAAAGTAGTTCCAAGCCAGAGTTGAGAGAAGTTCCCAGGGATGAGCCTGACTTAATTTCTCTTGATAGTGAAGGTGAGGATTCCTCTAAAAATATGAAAAAGAGGTCCTTAGAGACAGTTATAGAGTCAGTTAAAGGAAAGGAAAATCAAGAGGATGCTCAAAGTCTTAAAAAAGAACATATTTGTATTTATCCTCTTTTGCCAGAAGCTGCCTGTCCAATCTCAGAAACGGATGGTGCAGAGTCTATGAGGGAGGGGTTAAGGGGTAGAGCCCAGGACTTGGTGGGGCAGCTTTAAAAAA